AGAACATGGCCTCCGGATAATGGCACCTCTGTTGGTTTAGAAATGCCTAGATAGTCAAATTAAGCATGACGCTGTTGGTGTCCAACATGCAGCAGTATATAGCTGCATACACTCAATGCCAGCAGGATAACTACATTTAATAAAGTAAAATAAAAATACACAAACACCAAGGGTTGCATATATACGTTTAAATGTTCAGTGGTGAAAATAGTGATAAGCTGATGTTTTGGCTGTATGAAAGTTAGCAGCAATCAATCATCTCTGAATACAAAAACCCCTTTGCCCCCAGTACAGCTGAATTTGTAGAGCTTACAAATTCTGTCTAATAGAATTTCCTAGTCCTGGGGACCAATGAAAATGGTGTGAAAATGATGCTAGTTTGATGGTGCTAAAAAGGCTCTTCCTGTGACACTGGCTGATTCTTATTTCCTGTGATTCTTACTATTGTCTATTAATCATCATAATATAAAACCACCAAAACTGCGTACTTGTACTGGATATGAGTGTGTGGGTGAAGGATCTGAACAACACTGAATTCATAACTAGGGCATCTAACTGTCTCTCTCTACAAGGTTTTCTTATTCCAAGCTCCACAACTGCTATTACTGTAAACTGTGTATACGTGTGTTAATGTGTCTGTGAGTGACACCCCCCTCCCCTGAGATAACTAATGATCATTTGTCAGCAGCTCAGGGGGCAACATCTCAGTTTCTTTTTCTCTTTACTTACATCTGTACATGAAATGTACAGATATATACATAACATTACTTTGTAAGTGCAGTTTGTATTGGCTCTGTCATCAGCTGCTATATATTTGACCTTGTGTTATAGTAGTTATGGTTTTGGCTTTGGTTGCTGTGATCCAGTAGTAATTCCAAATTGTGGCCCATGTGCTAATTGTTTGAAAAACACCAGTGAAAACAATCTTAAATTCTTCTTTTCTGTTTTAATGCTGTTTGAACTTCTGATTACTATAAGATTTGGAGTGAATTAATAGAGTTCCCTCTATGGGACACCTGTGTACTCTTTAGTAAAATGTCAAACAGTGGACCGCTGTGGCATGCTTTTAATTTCCATTTGCTCTATTTAGCTTGTAAAATTATTTAAACTTTTGAAGACTTTCAAACTTTAAGACTGCAATGCTATCATTATGTACTGTTAGTGTATTCATTTTACTTTCCTATAGTAAATCACATTGACTTTGAAAACATACCTCAAACAGCATATTTGCATAGTCATTTCTCTGAAATATCTATAAAACACTTTTTAAACAAAACATTTGGATCCTGAGAAAACTTCAACATGTGAAGTAAACAAATGCACTAGTATAGTATATGTATCTATTCATGATATGTACTTCAATGATTCCCATAGGGCAAATATCAGCCATACCCTGTGATTGTACAGTAGTTCAGCATATTTTTTTCTAAGAACAGTTTTTATTTTTGGGAAATTTGGTTTTTCTTTGATTACTAGCTGTTTTACTCATATATATTTGTTGTTTTACCTCCTAACAAGTCTGATAGGGTCTACTTTGTATCATTTTGCATCTCAACAGATGGAGTGTTTTAACTGTGCAGCTGTCTTATATCACAAGCTCTTCTATTGGTTAAGTAGGGTATAATGCTATTCACAGTAAACAGTCCTTTTTTCTAGGTAATAATGTAGATTGTCTGGACAAAAATACAAAAATGTTTACAGAAATTATTTCTCTTTTGTAAAAAAGGTTACTTAACATCTGAGTGCACTTTCAACAAGCTATATTCTTACTGAATTTGGCCTTCCCCCTACTGTACCTTTTCTAAAATAACCACCTGGTAGGATAACAGTGCTTCTGCTTTAATATAACAACTCTTATAGAAGGTGCTCAGGACTCACAGTGTACGAGCCTCAATATTTTTGAAAAATCACAGTATCACTTTCAAGCTTGTGGCTTTACCATAGTTCCCCTTCATCCTTCTAATCCTTATGTTCCTGTCTGTTTTCAGCACAATATCAATTATGCGATGACAGAAACAGCAGAATACAGTCCAAACTGCTGCCGTGCTCCCAGAAGTCACATATGGAAGAACTTAACAATCAGCAGTAGCTTAGCCACAATTTATAGATGTAACTGTTTATCTTTTCCACTTTACACCCTTTGAAGACAGTAAACAGGCTGCTGTGCCCATTTAAGTACTGAGAGGAGAGGTAGCAGACAGATTCAGTGATCGGCCTGCAACAGTACAAAGGCAGTTACTACTGTAAGTGGTCTCTGTTCCTCTCCCAGCTGTCTGTATGATCCACAGGTGAGCAGCAGCCATTAGGACTCTGGCAGCATTATTGGGGGCAGTTTTAACAAATGATGCCCCTCGTGTCCCAGCTGTAATACCCACAGCTCTGCCAATGACAAAGATACTGTAGACTGACTGTGGGTGGGTTATTTCTTAACAAGTATTATGTGAGTTGTTGTGTGTGTATGTGTTTGACTGTCTCCTTAGTATGCACATACAGTACATACAGTACATGTTCAATGTTAGGACTTTTAATTGCATAATTTAGGTAATCCCATATACTGAATATTCAAGTAGGGAAAAACACTCTACTACCTTTCCATATCAGCATGTGTATGTATGAAACAGCATGGTTTACTGTAAGGCCCTTTTACATCACAACAGCATTGTCATGACCAATTGTGGTGAAGGTGGAAAGTAAATATTTATATTTACTTTACATTACATACTTTATCTCAGCATTTCCATTCAATGTTACTGAATACTTTCACTCAAGTTTAACTCCAATTGTTTTTAGTATCATCCACTCAAGATATGTTTGAGCCTCAACTAAGAAAATTAGACAACATTTCACAACAAATCAAAGCTTAGAGAAAATGTGTACTTTGTATTAGTTAAAGTTAAATCAGCTGAATGTACCGTACTATTACATTCAGTAGGATTTTCAATGCAGGATGTACTTTACTGTAAAGCTACTGGTACTTTCACTTCTGTAAAGAACCTGTATTCTACTATAGCTGGTGTGGTGTGGCAGCTTTTCATGGACAGGAGAGGAGGTGTGAAGTGTCAGAGACACAGGAAATTGCTGCATGCTGTTACAAAGCTTTAAATGACCTGCGTTTAAAGGTGGGCGCAGTTCCTTTAGGTATTAGCTTCCCAGGCCAACATTAAGGCTGTACATTATTTGTAGGAAATTCTTTTGGCCAGTAAAATGAAGAGAAGATTTCTGTCATGCTGAAAAGTAATGTTTAGATCAAGTTGCAGTGGGCTGGAGGGAAGAGGAGGGCTAAGTATGGAGTTTGGCAGCAGGTACCTGCAGAACTGCTGCTGTGTGCCTAATGTCTGTCCCGGTTGTGGAAGTGATGGTTTCTGTGTTTCTCTATTGCAACCGCAGCCTCTCCTCCACACACAGAGTCCTAATGCGCCTGGGACAACTTTAGCAAGATAAGCAGGATAAGCTCTGACACGAGCTATATTTCCAGAGTTCAAACTAACTGGTGTGTATCTTGACATTATTGAGCTCGAATTATATCCTGCCCGCCTCCTACACTTAGCAACACTTCCACTTCAAAGTGTGTGAGAGCACGAGAGAGTGAGTGAAATAGAGAGAGAAGAAGATTAAAGAGTTGGTGTGTGAAATACACAATGTTTGTTCTGTTGGTAACCTGATTTTTGTTTGCAGCATTTGCATTGATGTTAGACGATCAACATGCTTTTTTCGCATTTGGTTTTATAGTATCTAATGATTCACCTGCATGTGTCATCAGTGCACAGTAGACATGCACTCAAACACATCTCTCACACAGAATTTTAATGAACTCCAACAAGCCTGCTGTACATTATACTGTCAAATTAGATGTTTTATATAATGCACTGCAGGCACTTAATTGCCAAAGAAGCGCTTGTTTTTGCATATGCCTTTACCACACTTTACGTTGACTGTTTATGATTAAATATCTTTTTAACAAACCACATGAACCAAATCCAAATCTGCCTGAAAGAAACAGTAGAGTGATTATGTTTCCTGCAGCACAGCCTTTCCTTATGGTTCAATTGCATCATTATAAATTAGTTTAGCTTTTAAAGCAAATTAAATGATATCAGATGAGGAAAGGATTGGCAGGCATGAGCGCATTAGTTTACATCAAAGAACAACAGTATAGTGTTTGGCATTGGGCCTGTGGAAGCAGCACTGTACGGAGCTGTTACTGTAACAAGATGTCAATAGTGCCTGACAGGCCACTACTCAGTTTAGTGGCAGGCTTGCACTTTCAATCTGACAAATTGATGTTGATTTTGACTTTGTTTAAGGTAAGGTGTGTGCGTGTGTGTGTGTGTGTCTGTGTGTGGGAGGGAGGGAGAGAGATTGTGAGAGAGGGAGAAACATTTTCACTATCTGGAGCCTGCACCCCTGACATGAGATTGTAGCCTAAGTGCAGAAGTTTAAGGAGCAACTTTCTTGTGGCTTTCAGACTGCACCTAATGACCACTTTGATAAGATCAGGTAAAACCCATGTGTTAAAAAACCCAACAGTACAAAGCAGGTGTTTCTGTGTGCATGCACCCCTGCCAACATGGGACCCTGGAGGGACCACCGAGGAAGAAAGAGCAGCCCAGAGCAGAGAGCAGACAAGAGAGGCTTTCAACCTGATCACATTCCGATTCGCATCATACAATACCTGCATCATTATTGTGTCTTTAAAATCACCATCGGCAGTTTGCATGACACAGACCAAGTGACCCAGCCTGCATGTCTTCAAAACAGCACTTAATCTTATTTGAATTTCATACTAACCTCTAAACATTTGTCTTTTTTTCAATCCGTGTCGACACTATTATTAGCTCTCAGGCTTTCTCCTTCTCAAACGCACATTCTTATGAAATGCCGCTACTTAAAAATAGAAATACAGTTGTCCATTACTGGCACCCATTGACACAATACCTCCCGTTCCAGAGACGTAGCTCCTCCCTGTGTATGTGTGAGTGTGTATGTGTGTGTAGCGGGTGGGTGACAGCTGGGCTCGCAGCGCTCCGCTCCAGTCTGGTAAGAAGCTTCATCTCCAAATAGGATGACCGTCGGCTTTTGTGGAGGGGACTGAATTCTGCGCTGTAGCTAGTTCTGGGACACCCGGTTTGTTCAGTTTACGAGAGAGGAGTTTGAAATCCGAAACATTGTTTTTTCTCTCTAGTGTGGATTTCCAATGGATATTCCGATTTGAAGAGGTGTGATTTGAGAGCGGCATGTAACAAAAAGAAGCGCATGAGAAAAGTAGCGCTCGTATTGTTATTCTGACCGAGCACCGTCTGAACCGCTTTGAGAGCCATACCTCATGGATTACTAAAATATATAGCTGTAAAAACTCCGAGGCATATCCATTCATGAGCTGAAGGTAAGATTTCTTTGTTTATTTCAAACTTTTGGTGCGCGTATAGCCCGTACCAGTGCTTCTCCAGCCCCGGAGGCTTGTTTTCTGAGAAGCCAGGCTGCCGTGCGACAAGTGCACACGCTTCACATGGTTACGTATTTATTAACGTAGGGTGGTCTAGCGTATTTGTATAGGTTTGTTAAAGTTCTGAGAAAAATAGAAAGTGCCTTATTTTCAAATTGAATGAGAACTGCGATGATTGTCTTCAAGGAAAAATCCCTGTGCCGATACAACAGACCACATGTTCGTGCGTAATCCCTTTTATGCTGTTTACCCATATGGAATAAAGAAGTGACCGTCTCAAAAAGAGCTATTGCGGATTACATTGTGTCAAAACCTCTTCACTATCATTCCGGGTAGCAGGTACATTTACGGCAAATAAGAAATGTGCTTGTGGGAACTTGCAGGACCCAGACCGACTGTTTTCCTCTTGCCTCCGTCTGACATGCTGTTTTTCATCCTCGTTGAGTTTAAAGATTACAGCCACAAAACTTCCATCTGTAGACTGAAAATAAGAATGGAAAATTGTAGTATTTGTATGTGCCTAAAACGTTCCCCCTTTTTTTGTGTGAAAACGCTTAAACAGTGAAGCGATGTGTCCGTTATTACAGTGCATGATGGGCTTTTTATTGGCCATTTATTTCACATTCATGGAAATGAGAATTTGAGCAGCAATTGACATGTACAGTAGACATTTTTGCAATCATACTTTCTGTTTTCATTCTTTATATAAAACTAATCAGAGATTTAATGTTAATAATTAATGAATAAGTCATTTCACAGACACATTTTATTTGTTGGGAATTGATTCGAGTTTGTCTGTGCTTCTTATACACAAACAAGCAGACGTTCACCACACAGTGGCTATAGGGTGTGTTCATTGAATTCAAGCTACCAGGAGGCTGAGTGGCCAGTGTTACTCTGGTCCCAAAGATCAATCAAATGTTTGTAATTCTGAGGAGGAGACAAAATTACACCGGTCTCAGAAGTGGATTTGCCATTAAATGAAGTGCTGCCTGCTGCAAATTATTTTTTTAACAAGCTGAGAGAAGAGATAGAGGCCTCACAAACCACATCCAGCAGCCTGACTGCCAACACCCAGTCACTCCCAGTGGTTTCCCTCTCCTCTCCTCTCCTCTCCTCTCCTCTCCTCTCCTCTCCTCTCCTCTCCCAGTATGAAAGATCCCCCAGAGTCACTGGAAAAGATGGAAAAAGGATTCAGCAAATCTAAATGGTTATAGATTATCAAGTGTGTAAGGGTGATGATATTAATGGGGGAATCTAAGGAGTATTGAATGCTCATGGCAAAATATGCCTTTTATCAGAAGATTGTTCGCACATAGTGTTTTGATTTTAGTATTGTCCTATACAAAACATTTAAAAGATTTCATGCCACCACTGAGAAGAAAGGGTGTTGTTTTTTATCCTTTTTCCCCCCTGAAATCGTTGGAAATATTTGGTACTTGTGTGTTTTTTTGATCTGCGACCTTAGGTCTTTTCCCACTCATACTGTGCTGAGTGTTACACATTGATATTGAATGTGAAATAGCAGAATGTTTCTATAACATTCGCCTTAAGGCATTCAAATGTCCTGGAGGCATTTTGCTTGAGATATTGCACAGGCTGTAAATCCTCCCATACTATTTCGTAAGGCTACAACACCACAAAACAGAGTGATAATCCTGCTATTAACACAGTATACATTGACATGTTATGGTGCTGATACATGAATTACAGCATGATTACCTTTGTCACAGCAGCTTGCCTGTTCTCCTCCTGGAGAGGCAGAATAGAGCTGAGCGACCAGAGTTGTTGCTTGTATTTGGAGCAATGCTCCGTGGAGCATTTGATCCGCAGATCCCCTAACAATAGCAATGGGGATGGCATTGTGTGTGACTGATGTGGATTTGTCCCACTGTATGTGTGGGGGAGAGAGAGCATGAGAGGGAGAGTTAGTATTTACCTTTGCCAGTTAAGGGCAGACGCAGTTTGAAAACAGTAGGTTTGAATAATTGATAAATGGCTTTGGTCCTGTTCCAATGAATTGGCCCTCCATTATATGAGACCGGTCAGCTGCTGTTAACCATTGATCTTCATTCAGACAGTGTCAATAGCCCCCATTCAATAGTGTGTGTATTTATGCATATTTTATGAAAGCCATGTTTTATTGATGCATGTCCTTGGTGTGTGGGCTGGTGTTTTAAAAAAAACAATTAGAGGGCGAGAAAGCATCAAACCCCACTAACTCATCTTGATGTGATTTATTAATGCTTAACCTATTTCCAGATTCTACATCTTTCTTAATTGCAGTGGCAACAATGACACTATACGCTAATCAAATCAAGTCGTAGAGATACAAAAAAAAAGGTAAATCATGATTGAGTATATTATGTTTTTAGCTCATTTTGTTTTAGATCAGCCTCATAAAAGAAGTGTGTATTTTTGATGAAGCTGTCCATCAGAGATGTTACATGCTCACTTTTGGCTGTGCTCCTTTGGCTCTCATTTGAGATTTAGTCTGTTGTGATTCAGAAGGTAAAAAAAGAGATAGGAACATATTTTAACAAGCCATAACAACTCCCACCCTGTATAGAGATTCACTTAAGCTTTTGCTGCTCCGCCTCTCTTTTTTCTAATTTCCGTGACCTACTGAAGTTGAAGTCATTATTCGATAAACGCTTTTCATTTTATGTAAGAAAACACACTGAATGATATTTTACAGGATGAGAGGAGATGGCACAGCTCCATCTATATTTCCATGCATCTTCTTTGTTTGTGCATATGAGAAAGCAGATATTTGCTCACTACCTGCCATCCTTTCTAGTTAAGTTGGAACATATCACTTCCTGTTTATATGAGATGATTAATGGTATTCACTATACTAAAGAGACCCAATACATCTCCCTGTGCATGGTCCAGTGTGCTCTATTCACGGCATGGCCCATTGAAAATGTAATCACTCGCTAATCACTTGCTTCAGCGTGTTGCTCTGCTCTAGTCAGTTGTTCACACACACATGCATGGATGCATGGTGTTCCACTTTCTAAGTTTCATTGTGTTGTTTGAACTGGCTGCTTTCGCCTTAACCCTTTCCTCTCCCAAGAAATGGCTCTGTAGTGCATCCATTGAAATAACCGTCTAAGTGTAAAACACTCTTCATACTCGTTACATTAGCATAATTGATTGAGCGTGTTGTCTATGCCAAAAATGCCATCAGCATGAAGGACCAGGCCAAGGCTTTTTTTCGGCCGGGTGCTGCAAGTCAGTGGTAGAATTGGCAGTGTCTTTAGTTTTTTTGGCTGTTGGTCCTTGGCAAAGCTTTGTTGTTAGAAATTAAGTCTATTAGAAAGTTATGGCTGGCCCATCTAGGAGAAGATTGCTAAGAAGCCAAACTTGACCACACAAATGAAAACAAAAGCAACATTTAAAATCTGCTTATAACACCAGGTTTCTCTTCATGGAAATGCTATATCTGAACTAGTCAGAACATGCAACATTAACACACACTAATACCTTTGTCAGAGCCGAGTTTGATCGTCTGTCATTACTCAAATGGGATGGAGATGAAATGCATTTGCAGGGATAATCCAAAAGCAGCAGGGCTTTGTGTGATTGCCTGGGAGATGAATGAATGACTGGCCTTGAAAAGAGCCAAGTCTTGTACTACAGACCAGATGATGTATGTATATCGTGGTACACAGCATTAAAGTATGATGTCCTAGTTCCTGTCCTGTTGTGCTTTTACAGGTGAGAGCAGCCAGCTGTGAGCCAGGAAGAGAGCCACAGTCTGTTAAGTCTCATTAGGGCCACATCCGCTGCTGAGGCAGTGGTTATTGCTGTGGTTAGTTTGCTTGTTGGAAGCCAATAAGGAAGTGTGTGTCATGAGTGTGTTAAGCATCAGGTAAACACCATCTTGTTTAGCTCTTTAAGTGCTAACTCTGCCGATGTGCCACTGTGCGGTGTGAGTCAGACCCTCTCACGTTTTCTGTGTGTATATTACCACTAAGCGCAGAGGGTGGCTCATGGTGGGGGGGGTTTGAGTGTGTGCATTTGTGTACTCTCTGTGACTCTGCGTGCATGTTTGCGTGGCGTTGTTGGAGTGCATCTGTCCCTCCTCCCCAGGCCCCAGCGATTGGCACTGCATCTCTCATCTATTAATCATAGAGCGCTTGCTCTCTCATTCCGTTGCCATAGTTTCAGGACCTGAGACAGTGTTGGGGTGCATGGCTGCCAGTAGAGAGGAGAAGTGAGAGGAAGGGGACAGAGGAGGAAGGAAGAGAAAAAGGAAAGGAAATAAGTGGGGATGCAGAGGGAAGGAGGAAACAATATACGGTATAGCAAGGGAAAAGCAAAGTAATTGAAATAGAGAAAAGGAGGAAGAGAAGTGATTGAAATAGCAATAACAGGCTCACACACCGAGCAGGTCCTCACATGAGTGTGCTTGAAGAACCAAAATGGATTCCATTTTTATCTCAGCAGTGAACCCTCTATCTCCTTCTGTGCATGCTTCTTTTTAGTCTCTCTCTCTCTCACACACACAGACACACACACAAACCTAAACTCTCTCTGTGCTCCTTCCTAAAGAGAGCAGGAGAATATTTTCACAGTACGCATCATCTTGTGAATAACTGCGAGTTCGTGGGGCTGGTGCATCTCCAGTGTGTTACAGTACATTGAGCGGCTGTTATTTCACCTTGCTGTACAATGGAGAAGCCTTCCACTGAGCTGAGATGGAAGATGGGCCGGAGCCCCCTGTTTCATGCTCAGTTGGATGTGTTGATGGTAAAGCATGCTGAATTCATGTGTTATTCAATGACGGCTAGCAATGGAAATAAACCACTATGGAAATGTCCAAGGCAGGGAATACCTGTGGCTATCAAGCCTGGTCTCTCTGTATTTATCTGCCTGTCCCTCTCCCTTTCTTCCTTTTCCTGTACTGTTTTCTATCCCTCTAACTTGGATTT